CATAAAATACTTAAAACAACAAAACCAACAAAAAAATAAAATAAGTCACCAACACACCTAAAATCTTGTCGGCAGAAGGCGGCAGGACCAGTGGCCGCCACCGATGCAAGCTGCTGCAGCAGCCAAGGAAGTTGTGCCATTGCGGTCTGGGGCAGGGGCTGTGGGTGGGAATGTATAATTCTTATTGGGCTTTTTTTAACTACAAGCCTAAAACCAATTGAAAACTGAAAAGCCCAACATTTTAAAAAAATGGCCCAACAAAATTAAAAAAGGCCCAAAGTTTTACCTTCTTCCTCCTTGGCTTGGCTTTCCTTGGTGACTCCTCCTTCAACACCATCCATGGCGCAGACAGCTTCACAAACTCCACTAAAAATTCAATTCCGGCGGCGTCAGCATGGGCGGCCGCGCCACTTCGCCGGGTGCTGGCTCCGCCACTGGAAATGTGGCTTTTAGTTAATATCTTTGAAGCAAAAAACAAATATTTTGATTACTTTCAGGTGCTACCAATGGTGCAATGGATGCTGGCAATCTCTTGAAGCCTATGCTTGGTCGTGGAGAGCTACGATGCATTGGTGCAACAACTTTGGATGAATATCGTAAGTATATTGAGAAAGATCCGGCCCTGGAGCGCCGTTTCCAGCAAGTTTATGTTGATCAACCTTCAGTGGAAGATACCATTTCTATTCTCCGTGGACTGCGTGAAAGGTATGAGCTACACCATGGAGTCCGCATTTCAGACAGTGCCCTTGTTGAAGCTGCAATACTATCAGACCGTTACATCAGTGGACGTTTCCTACCTGATAAAGGTACAATACACCCTTTTTGGTTCAGCTAAATTTTTTGATTAAAATCCAAGTCAAAGTCTACAATTAATTTTAACTACACATTTCATGGGTTCCACAACTTTTCAATCACATATCTCTTCAACCTTTATCAAAAATTTCTTAAAAATTGATTTTTATTGAAACCATACAAGTGCTAAATTTAGTATTCTATTCATAATTAATCCGTTTAAGATTGACTTCTTGATGCATGCCAGTTGAGTCCCAGAATGTGAAGTAGTTTAAACTTGCAGGCGTACTTGGTATTGTCTCTTATTCTCCAAGAATTCTTTTATTTCACATTTTTGTCAATTAATGTTTTCAAGATCAAATTCGGAAATTTTGCTCCTGTATTAGTGTGTCATGTTAGTTAGATGAAATTTACTTGCATGGCCAGTCAATTTAAATTCTTTGTATTAATCTACTGATGACCTTGCCAGCTTATTACAAAAAAATAAATCTTGCACGTTGAAGTGTTATTTTCAATATAAACTTAACTGCAATGATGGTTTTTCCATCGGAAGTACAAGTTCTAGAGAGTGGGTGTTCTCCATTGTCTCGATGGAAAGAATCTATGGATCTAATCAAAGCAATAGAAATCACTTCAAGCACTAATTTTGCATATCAATTGCAGCTATTGACCTTGTCGATGAAGCAGCAGCCAAACTGAAAATGGAAATTACTTCAAAACCAACTGCCCTTGATGAAATTAACCGTGCTGTTCTGAAACTTGAGATGGAAAGGCTATCTCTTACCAATGACACTGACAAAGCATCAAAAGATAGGCTAAATCGCCTTGAGGCAGAGTTGTCCCTTTTGAAGCAGAGACAAGCTGAGCTGAATGAGCAGTGGGAGCATGAAAAAACTGTCATGACACGCATACAATCTATCAAGGAAGAGGTACGCACTTTGTCTTGGTAATACGATAAGTATGTTTGATAATTTGTTCCCCTTTCAGATGCTTGTAGCATCGATACAGTTGCCAGATCATATAATCTGGAAGAGTCTATTATAAGAATGGCATGGTCAAATTGTGATTCTGCCATTAAAGTTTTGCGTGGAAGACTAAATGAACATGTATTTTGACAGATTGACAGAGTAAATGTAGAGATCCAGCAAGCTGAGAGGGAGTATGATCTCAACCGTGCTGCTGAATTGAAGTATGGGAGCCTAAACTCTCTGCAGCGACAACTGGGAACTGCAGAAAAAGAACTGGATGAGTATATGAAGTCTGGAAAGTCCATGCTTAGAGAAGAAGTTACTGGTAGCGATATTGCTGAGATTGTTAGTAAATGGACAGGAATTCCTGTTTCCAAACTACAACAATCGGAGAGGGAGAAGCTGTTGCATTTGGAGGAGGTGTTACATAAACGTTTGGTTGGTCAAGATCCTGCAGTGAAATCCGTTGCGGAGGCTATTCAAAGATCCCGAGCAGGCCTTTCAGATCCCCATCGTCCTATTGCTAGCTTCATGTTCATGGGTCCTACAGGTGTTGGAAAGACAGAGCTTGCAAAAGCACTTGCTTCCTATATGTTCAACACTGAAGAAGCTCTTGTACGGATTGATATGAGTGAATACATGGAAAAACATGCAGTTTCACGATTGATTGGAGCCCCCCCAGGTTACGTTGGGTACGACGAAGGAGGGCAGTTAACAGAGATTGTTCGGAGGAGGCCATATGCAGTTATTTTGTTTGATGAGATAGAAAAGGCTCATTCTGATGTATTTAACGTGTTCCTTCAAATCCTGGATGATGGTAGAGTAACTGACTCACAGGGTCGCACCGTGAGTTTCACCAACACTGTAATCATTATGACATCGAATGTGGGTTCACAGTATATACTTAACACAGATGATGACACCTTGCCTAAGGAGATGGCTTATGAAACTATAAAGCAGAGGGTAATGGAGGCAGCAAGATCAATTTTCCGCCCTGAGTTCATGAACCGTGTTGATGAATACATTGTATTCCAGCCTCTTGACCGTGAACAGATTAGCAGTATTGTCAGGTTACAGGTAAGTTGTGTTCTTCAATGATGGTTAAGCTAAGCATGTTGTTTCTTCATATGTTTTATACTTAAGTTTTTTTGGTTACAACATTTTGGTGGAATAATGCCTCAGCTAATCCCTGTTGTGGTTTTTTGACAGTTGGAACGAGTGCAAAAGAGGATAGGGGATCGCAAGATGAAGATTGAAGTGACCGATGCTGCAATTGAACTCCTTGGAAGTCTCGGGTATGATCCAAACTACGGTGCCAGACCAGTGAAGCGCGTGATCCAACAATATGTTGAAAATGAGCTCGCCAAGGGAATCCTGAGAGGAGAGTTCAAGGACGAGGATACAATTTTGATAGATACAGAAGTCATGGCATTTGGCAATGGTCAGCTTCCACAACAGAAGCTAGTCTTCAGAAAATTAGAGCCCGGTTCAGATACATCCTCTGAAAACCGAGAAGCTTTTTCTCAGACACGATGAGGAATTGATGATACATCTCTTCTGCATGGTGACACTCCTCCATCCATCCCAATCGTGCTATATATTTTAGAGAAAAATAAAGCTGGATAGAAGAAAAAAGTACGATTCTACATTGTGTAAATTTACAATACAGTTAATAGATTTTGCTTGATTTTACAGTTCTTACAAAATCTGGCTGAAAGGTTTGTGTTGAATGACAATGCAACTTCGATAAATATTATATCCATTTCCATCTGTTTATGCCACCACCCCATTCTCGACATTCTGCGGTTTGCAGTTCTGTTTTGAAGCAAACCAAATTAGTGGCCTGTTTAGAAAATTCGTCTAAAGAACCCTCCCACACTTGGACAGATTTCTGGGCCCAATATGGGCTTCCCAGTGAACTCCACTAAATGTTTGGGGCCACTGAACTTGGCCCATATTTGATAAGATGTCTCTGCCCAATAAAGCATCTCCACCGGCCCAGTCCTCCCTTCCGAATTCTCTCGGGCTGGTATTTTCCTAGGCCCATCAGCTTATTACTGAGGATATTGTATTTAACTGTTTATTGTTAATATTTCTTAAAAAAGCAAGTCTTGCAAGTACAAGAAAGGTAATTTCGATATTCACTTTTAAACGAGTAACTTGAGAGTACGACCAAAAATGTTCGACTCTGTTGCACGCTTTCACCTTTCCCTTCACACCGTATACACAATTTGATGCTATTTGTGAAAAAAACAAGAATCTTAATGGGTAAAGTTATTTTTACGAACGGATAAATTGTGCACGAGCTTGGAGTATTAGCATTTATATTTTTATAAAAAAAAAAAAAAAGACGCGCAACCACGATGTCATAAAATTCTCGACATACAATGGGGACATGCTAAATTAGAGTGCTTGCTAATAATATGTGATATCTAGATTCATATAGCTTTGGCTTGATTTGAAACTCGTATTAGTCTTTCATATGATTTTAACAAGTGCGTGTCTAAGTTCAAATTTTGAGAGATCACTCATCCAAAGTGAGTAACATTAGAGCGAAGGCTTCGCCCGCTCATACTGATTAACACTTATAAAGTTATAATGGAAAAGATACTAAAAGCTTGATCACCCTCTCTGTAAGCCTTAGCATGTAAGAATCATCAAATCACAACAATAAACTTCACGCGAACAAAGGAAATTCAAAGATCCCAAAAAACATAACTTTACAAGAGAAAATGTGAGAGGCTTATAGCACGATCAAATCCAACCTGGCCAAGCTAATAAATGCTGCATCATAGAGTGGGAGGTTGGCCCCCAATCATCTGGAGATGTACACCCAGTCCTGGTCTTGAACACAAGTTAAGGTCCACCAAAAGGTCAAATAAATTGTCTTGAGGAAACAACAGAACCTATTATTGGGTCAGTATGGAGGAAATGCAAAGAAAGACGCTTCAACTGTCAATAACTCGTATTCATCTCTTTTTCTTTGCCAACTTTCCATCTAAAATTTAAGAAAGAAGAAAGAACAAGCATACCCTTCAAGGAATGGCTCTGAAGCCACATCAGAACTGTTCATAAATGAGAATACACATGAAATCTACTGTGTATTAAGATTATTTGAAGATTGTGAATTTCGTTCCTTGTATCACAAGCCTTTCCTTATTCTCCTACATTTCTTTACAATGTCAAGAACATGAGGAGAAGATCATTTGCCACTCAACTGGCATCATTAGGAAGTTTACTCTATTGGAGAGAGATCACAGTTTCAAATGCACCCACTAAGGCTTTAACCTTACTTTTCCTGCTTTCAACAAGCTTACTTGCTGTTTCTTCAATGACATTATTAAACAAACCTTGTGCATCTTTCTTCCCCTGCGCATCTTGATGCTTTAAAACAACTTTCTCAGAAGAAGGATCTGCGTCGTTTTTGTCATTGACCATGCCATTTTTAAAAGTTTTCCTTCTCAAATCACCCTTGCCGTCTTGGTCTCCTGCCAAGACTCTTCCTCTCCTAAATCTGAGTCTCCTAGGATTGTAATTATCAGATTTAAGGTCCACTATCTTCCCCCTCATAAACTTTAACTTCATAGGAGTACAGTCTTTATCTTCAGAACCAACTGCACTATTCTTCCTCAGAACCTTAATGTGTTTCTCCTTTACCAATTTCACTTTGCCAGCTTCTGCAGTGTCATTTCTGTCAGAGATTATTTCATCTACTTCACTTTCATCGTATTCAGTCTCTCCTACCTCTTCATGACACAACAACGACGGTGAGTTTGCAAGTGACAAATACGCAAGTGCTGACGGAGATGGATGTGATTGAACGACATGGCCATCTGTCCTGATAACATGCAAGGTTTTCTGGGGAATCTTCTCATCAGTTGATCTTTTAGTCTCAGGCTTGTGTATTCTATTTCGATCCTTCAAAGGAGACGCCACTTTTAAGCTTATTATGGTTTTTCTTGTTCTCAAGGGCATTGTTCCACGGAGGGAGAGAGTGGGGGACACAGAAGCATGCAGAGGAGTCAAAGCTTTCTTTACAGATGCTTTGGATGCCAACATCTTTCCACCAGTTTTAACATCATTGTTTCTTCTTTGTATTCCATGAATACCATCTGAGGTGTTAGGGGAAGATGATAGTCTCACCGTTACAGATGGAGAATGCTTGTTGGGCACGTTCTC